AAATACTTTTAAGTAAACTTTTTCACTAGGTTATCAAGTATATATATTTAAAATTTTATATGAATTAAATAAATATTTATTGAATATAAGTAAAAATAGTAATTATGGTTTTTTTTGTAACGCACTGTACGTACATATAATTTAATTTGTCGAAATTCTTACGTGATTCAAATCTTAATTGTATTAAGGAAAATTGTTTTTGTAGCTATAGTATCATTTTTAATAATATGACTAACTTATATGGATTCTTTAGAAGTTTTCTTTAATTAACATAATTGATGAATCTGTTATCTCTGGGTCTTGGAAGTCAAATGTGAGTATGAATATACAATAAAAAGTATGCATAAACATGAAGCAATCTTTATAAATTAAATAGCTCGATTTTTTAATCTAGCTTCAGCCAACGCCATGTCTATAAAAGCAACCCATTCCGTTCTATTGTCATTGTAATTAATAGAATCTGTTGCGTGGCTCGTGACTAAGATTGCGGAATATCTATCATAGGAAAATGAAAATACAGGAAAAATAAAATTATAGGAGACAATTTTATACATAATCTTAACTCTATTTTTAATCCTAATCTTAAATCTAACCCTAAGCTCCTAAGTTAAAACCAATCTTTACCATTGATTAACTTCATAGGAAACCGCAAGAATTGGAATAATATTTCAAATCCACTGTCTTTTTCTTAAAGTCACGTTGGTTATAAAAAGGTCCTCCAACGACACATTTAATAATTATGTCTAATCATAATTTATTCAAAAAAAGTAAACTTCGCATTTTATCGGCAAAGAACTACTTATTATGCTTTACGAACATGTTTGTTGCCTTTTTTAAATCTTCCGTTTTTGAATAGTGTAGTATCTCATGAATCTGCTTTATTTATTATAATCAAAAAAATTGATTTCAAAGAATTTTACACATGTTAAGAACGATATTCAAATATGGAATACATCAATCGTTATTTCCTTATGACCATATTCTTTTACCATAAGTAATTCATAATACATGTAACAATTTGGTATTACAATATAATTTTGAGACATTAGATTTTTTACAATACATGTAATACTTCACGTGCTTAATATATGTGATATACGAAAATCATTCATTCTGTTTCTATACAATAAATTATTGTGGCCTGAGATAATATGATTTGTATGCGCGTTTCTTTCCCATTTATTAATAAGGTATAATTATTACCTTATTCAACTATAAGAGCACGTATTAATAATACAAACCATTTTTTGCTTGCTCTTTCTGATTCAGTACTTTTCTTGAGAGAATAATATCGTTGATTACTTTCTTTTTGCAAAAGTAAATTAACAGGAGTCGATTCTTTATTCTCGCTTAATCCTTAATTCTCTCAATCTTCGTGGTATTATATAGATAAGCATTTAATTTATAAGTCCCTAGTCAGCAACGACACCGCATACATTAAATCGTTTCTTATCCTTTAAAGAATACCCTTACATAAAATGAAATTCACAACTACTTGTTTACTTGTCGTAGGCATAATAGCCGATCTAGTTAATGCGGGAATTTTCACTACTTATCCCTACAGTTCTATTACATGGGAGGCGAACCAAAAATACGTGGTAACGTGGAAAGACGACGGGCAGGCTCCATCGCTTAAAAGTTTGGGAAAAATTGATGTTGATGTGGTCGTTGGCTCTGATGGAAATTATCTTTTAGCAAAAAACATTGCAAAACAAGTGCCAGCTACTGCATTAAAAACTCATAGCTGGAACGTTCCAAAAGGATTAGGGCCTGCAGGAGCTTATTAGTATGTAATTAAACGAAAAACATAATTTGTTTATAGAATTTTCAATGAATGCAATGTTTCTTTAGTTTTATTAGGTATACATCGGGTGAAAATGTAGCTTTCTCTGGTAAATTTAATATTCAAGGAATCTCAGGGAATATTGCGGGATTTGATCCGTCTATTGGAAACTCAACATCCGGTGGACCAGTTGGTTCAATTAATTCAACAAGCTCTGGGCAAGATCCCACCACTACTGATACGCCAAATAACACAACTTCGACTGATAATCCAAGCGCTACAGACACCGGCGTCTCTACAAGCAGCAAATCGTCAAGCTATGGCCAATCAAGTGAAGCTACATTAAATCTTAACACATTTATAATCTCGTCAATCTTTCTAAGTCTTGCTAGTACCGCATTGCTCTATTTATAGAAAATAAATATTCCTAATGCCAGCGTAGAAAACATGCAAACGCATGTATAGTTCATTTACATTTCTTCAATGCCTGGCGGATTTTGTATTAGAAAAATTAGAAGAGTGTAAACACGTGAATTTGATACTAGCCAACGAATAAAGGCTTTAGAAAAATTCTTGTGTCAAAATACTTTGGCAAATTTAATAGATTATCTTAATTCTTTATTGTAACATAAATAGGTCAGTTTTGAATTTTGATAAAATATTTTTTCTTGTTTTTTATATTTTTTGAATTAAAGAGTAGAATTTAATGATATATTAAAATGAATATATATATATATAACAGTATAGCAATTTTCAAACAAAATACAAAGTTTTATCATTTGCATCGAGCAACGTGCGCTTTTTAAATGATTAAATGAATTTTTCGAGAAATCTTCACTTATTTATATGATAGCCCAGCCATGAAAAGCGTAAGATCATGTGATTCTGATTTTTCGCCAACCCTTTCGTTATTCCTCATAAAAATCTTTTACTTGATAAAATTTGTTCAAGATTAGCTATGCAAGCACATAAAGAATTCATTTATATATATCAAAAATTTCGTAAGGAGCATTTGTTGTTAGAATGCAAGTTATTTTATAACGATAGATAAAATATTTATGTTGCATGCACTGAAAAAGTATCAGCATAACTTTGAAGCATCTGTATTAAATGAAATATGCCATGGATTATTTTCTTGAATTTGAAAAGAAAGTAAAAAGTTTAATTACAGCGTATACTAATTTCTACATAAATAATATTTAAACGTAGCGTAATTCTGTTTAATGCTCTTTTCTTTAATCACTTTCGAGACTCGTCAATCGAGTCAAAGGAAATCATTGTGAATATTCAGCTAATCTCGTAAAAATAAACTGCTCAGAAAAAAATCTCAAATAGAATAATTGTTAATGCGTTATCTGTTATTTATTTGTCGTCTTCGCTTTAAGTGAATAATTCATTTTCCTGCTATTGTAAAATTAATCAGATTGCGATTTATGTTGCAATAATAATTCACGAGACTACGAATCAATACGTAATGTATTTTCTGCATAGAAACTTGATTTACCTTGAAAGGATGTTGGTGAAATTTTTCGAGCGTTTAGATTTATATGAAAATCTTTGTAAAAGAAACCAAAAAACCTAGATTTTTGCGTACATTTGACTTAAGATTTGATTGGTCATTATCGTTGATATGCTCGGCCTACATCACTTTTGGAAAATCGGAATACATGTACACGTAACATTACAGCAGCAACAAAAAGCCATCAATATCTTGGAATGCTTAGCCTTCACTCTATTCATTCCTGAATTGTTATCCAGCCTCCTTTTTTTGTATTTGTGCTGCGCATTCATCATTTGCAGTTGGTAAACATAAAATTCAGATTTCTCCCACAAAAAAAATGAATCTCAATTATAAATAGCATATGGCTTGGCGTCTTCCAAAGGTTTTGATTTTAAGTTTACATTACTTTTAAGAGTCAATTGAACGAAATACAGAAGTAAAAAAATCATTTTATAGTAAGTTGATCAAAGCATTCAATGAAATAATGTGTCTAGATATAAATAATGTGTCTAGATATAAATAATGTGTCTAGATATAAATAATCCATTATATATTTTTTATTTAAATCACAGACAAAAATTATCCACAATAAAATGAAAATCATTTTCAAGTTCATATTATTATTATTATCATGTCTCGTATTCTCGATCATAATTACGAAATCAAATGCTGCAACGGGAACCACAGCCGCTGGATCTACAACGTCAAAATTTCATTGATTATTTTTTATTAATGATTTTATTATGCAATTATTCAAATTATTAACTTGGATAAATTTTCATTTTAAAAGTATGACAACAAGTTCTTTAGTTTCTACCGCTTCTAAAACCAGTACGACGTCTTCTACATCACGATCAACTAATTCGCCAACTTCCACATCCACTACCACAAGTAATAGCGATAGTAACAACACGAGTAGTAATAGTAATAATAGTAATAATAGTAATAATAGTGGTAATGGCAATAAAACTTCAGGAAATTCTCAACCACAATCATCTCCTACTCCACAAATAACGACATCATTCAAGACTGTTGTATTATCCACTGTCGTCGATGGATCACAAAGTACAATGTATGTCTTTGTATGCGCGTCTTATATTCGATTTAACATGTATTGACAAGTTACTGTTATTGCATAGCACAACGGTAACTCCGATCGTTACGTCGCCGTAAGTTTGAGTTGATTAGATACAGCTTTATACAATTTTTCTCGTCAATTTGTTTAATAACTTTATTCCTAAAAAAATAATACTTTTGTAGAGACACAGAAACGCAAGTCATTACAGTTGGTGCAGGTGGTCCAACTACTTCGCCTACTCAAAAGACTGTAGGCGGCTTGATTTCAAATGCAGAGAGAAATGATAACTTCCCAGTTTTGAGAAATGTTGTGGTTGGATTTGTGACGATTTTTGGAATGAGTTTCTTAGCTAATTTAAAATACTGATATATTATATACAAGTCAGTCTCATTTTAATCTGTCTCGTACAAACCAATTTTAATAAATTTCTCTTCAAAAATGTATTAAAGATTTGAATCACATGAAAATTTGACCAATTAAATTATAAACATGTGATATAAATAGCAGAATAGATATACATATTATTTGGAAAAGTAATTATTTATTACTTTACAATTGCTTAATTAATTATAATAAATAATAACAAGTCTTGAAGTTTATTATAATTTTTAGTGGAGAAATATTTGCTTTTTGAAATGATTTTACAAGATAACTTGTATATTTAAAATTATTATATTTTTGAAACTGTTATTTTTTTAACAAGATATTAATTTTATATATATTTAAAAAAAATAAATTTATTTTTGTAGTTTTGAATTATACTGTAATATTATGTGTATTTAAATAAGTATTAAATAATAAATTAGTAATTTTTAAAATATTTTTATATAATTATAAAAATATCTGAATTATTTAAAAATAATTTTATATCAGTCATAAAAATATATGATTAAATTTTTTGAAAATAAATAAGATTTTCAAATAATATATTTACATACTTTTAAGTTTGAGTTTTCAAGCTTAACTTTAATATAACTATTATAAAAATAATTATATTTAATTTCAGAATAATTTTTAAAAATTTAATTTAGATTAGATTTCAATTCAAATATATATAAAAATTAAATTAAATTCAATCGAAAATTTATATTAAAAGTTTAATTGAAATTTTTAAAAAAGATTATTTTAAAATTAATATAAAAAATCATATTTTTAATAATTAAATAAAATAAAATAGTTTATATAATTATTATCAATTAATAATTTCGAATTATAAAAATTAATTTCTAATATATATAAAAGCAATTTTATTATAATATATAAAAGTTATTTAGAAGAATTTAAATTTAATACTAGATTAAAATCAGATTTAAGTTTGTTTTGAAATTAAGATGTAAATTAAATTAATTTTTCCTATAATTAAATGCAATTAGAACTTCTCATAAAAAATTCAAAACATTCAAAATATTAAGTTGTTTTAAAAATGAAAATAAAATTAAAAAAGTTTATATAAAATAAAAGATATATAAATTCAGGTGTCACATTACTTTGATTTAATTGTAATTTTAGTCTGTTTTTATGTATCTTTAATTTTAATTATATTCTTGAATTAGTTTTAATTATTTGAGGATTTGAAATTTATTTTGTTTATATTAATTAAACATTTATTATTAATACAAAAATGATATTTTAATACTAATTTGTTTAGATCATTATTAAATTACGATTTAGTATTAGAGTAAGTCTTTTCTGTTGAGATATCAAAATCGGGATGTTAGTTTTAATTAAATTAACAAATACATGTACTAAATTAAATGTACAGATATGATTGAAAATTAAATTTATAATATTTGAAAAATAATTAAATTATTTCATCATCATCACTATATTTGTAATGCAAAGTAAGAGTCATTGGCTGATATTTCACTACAAAAATAAATTAAAATTAAATTACGCTATAATTCTTTTAGGAAATAACAGAAAAGAATAAAGATACATACGATAAAATGCTAAATTTTTGCCGAAATTCTGAACACAGAGTAAAGAATTTAGTTTCAATGCGATGAGAAAAAATAAACTTGGGATACCTGCACAATTTAATGCATGAATTATATTAAAAAAAAATTGTGCTTTTTTTCATTAAATTAAGTATTTTGTACCTGTGGTAAATAAAGTCTGATACGGATTAATGTATTTAATCTTGTCTGAGAAGCTACATCTATAAATCAGCTCAGAGTCTTTTATGCCATACGGTGTACACCAGTTAAAAAGTGCCCGAATTATGAAAGCTGACTGTAAGAGACTGGCTAGCATGGAAACATATATCAAAAATTTTGATTCCTCTCGTACCTATAAGTTATGAGTATTAATATTAAGAAGAATAAAGTGCAGTAATATCATAGAAAATAGTTTCGTAGTTACCGCTCTCAAAGAGAATGGTATAATGAACAAAAATATGAGATTAAACGGTCTCCAATTATAATCGTTTTTGCCATATGCAAAAAGTTTATCCTCCCAGATACCTATTGAATACCAATAAGATAAACTCCAAATAGCTGAAATCACTATAGCTCCATGTAAAAATACCCCTTGTAACAGATAAAGTGTGTACATTCCTAAAAAAAAAAGTAAATTGCAAATTAAACATAAATAATTATTAAATTGTAACAAGATTATTTTTTTACCGCGTATATTTCTTTTTGATTTAATATTGAAGTCACCCAGGAACGGCCATATTCTACAAAAGATGTTTCTTAATACAAATATAGATATAACAATATTAAAATCTGAGAATAATTACTCTTTCTTCCATAACATAAATGCAAATATTATGCATCCGATCTCCACCGCTAAGTAAACTGAAATCGAAATTAAAGTCGACTGCGTCGTTTGCTTGTTCCAGCATATCGATGAGTCAGGGCAGCGATTCAGTTGCTCAATCAAATTGAATACAGAGTAAAATATTGGAATCAAATTTACTAAGCAAAATACAAAAAGATGAGCTATTGTTCTATTGAAAAACTAATTGAAATATTTATATTTTGTTAGATGATAATTAATTTATAAGTTAGTATTAAAATATAATCAGTTCTCACTACACTGTACATATACTTACAACTACGAATGCAGAAATCACCAAAATAACAACGCTCACGACTATTGCGGAGAGCAACATCATGCTCTCCAGGAGCATCCAAAATAAGGTAGCTATATTCACAATTAAGAATAAAATGAAAAACTTTTCAATGCAATGTAAATTAGATGTATTTTGAGCATTTATTAAATTTTGAATTCGACACTTGATATAAGAAAAATTCATCTTCGATATGGGCATGTAATCAATATGATAGTAAACGTAAATAAAGCTGGTAAATTACACAGCAGCAATATTTCCTAGTACAAGCGCCGAAATAGATCAGTTAATAACGATAATTTTATCGGTATAACGATGAAAAAACGCTTGAGTCGCACGAATACCGTTAAGAAAACACTCGATAAAGAAAACCAGCTTATTTCATAATAATTTTTGATTATGTTGTATAAAAACTTCTTATATAACTTAAACATTCTTGTTCTTTAGTTTCAGGCATGAGCACAAAATACTTCAACTTAAACAGCTCATTTATTTGTATTGGTAGCACGTTGTTTCTTTAATATATACAAGAAAATTGAATTGATACCTTGCATGATTACAAAATCAAAAGGTTTATAGTTTTGATAAAAGAAACTTGCTTGAAAGCTCTAGCAAATGTACGTCAATTACGTACTTGCTTTAACATAATAATAAAAAATGTCTCACTTGATATCTCACACCATGTTACGTATGATGCATGATATAAGAAGCTACGCAATTTTAAAACGAGAATTTATCGTTATTAGTCAGAAGCATAGTTTATTTTTTATTTATGGCGGATTTTTTTACACTACATTTTGATTTTTAATCAGTTATGTGAAAATTATATCATATCGATATTAGTAGAAAAAATTTAAATGCTCGCTTTATTTACAAATCGTTACACCACACCATAACGATAAGCTATCGGCTCCGTACATAATTATCCAAACGTGACTATTTCATTGCTCTGCGGTTTCAAAGATATTCAATATTTGTTTAAATAGCGACATAAATGCGTAATTTTAAAGAGAGTTCACTTAGAACGAAAAAATTCGATATTATGAAGACTGTTATCCTTTCTTTTAGAAACATTCAGAAATTTAGTTCTCTTATTTAAGATGGCAAAGATTGTGTGTAGCGATAATACGCATTGATGATTGATAAATGTGAGCAATGGCACGAAAATAATTGCATAATGACAGTCGTATTTTTCTGTGAGTAAATAAACTCGTATTTGTGCTTTGAAAAAATTTTCGTATGGTATTTATAAAAACGCCCCGAAACATGAACCTGTTCCGACAATACGTATATAATACGTTCTAGATAACTTGCATATACATGTAGTTGGTAGCGAACCTATAAATTAAGAAGAAATCTCTTTGGAACTTCAACAAATTTTAGTAATGTACTTTTGTCCTATATAAAATATTCGACGTCGCAAACGTCATGTTCTATATCGGACAAATGTTGTACATGCATGAACATTCGCATGAAAGATTACTATTTTTGTTGTGCGAGTATAATAGGAAATTATATACGATTTTTTTTTAAACAGGATTTCTTACATGAACAAATACATGTGATATCCCATAATGGAAATTGAACATAGAATTTGAATTCCACGTACATGTTACACTTTCGTAACGAACAACAATTATTTTCTCGTTTGTTTTTCAACCAATGCACGCATTTATCCAGTGAACTCAAAGATGGAATCGAATACGTATTGTAGTAAATGTCGACGCTGTCAGAAAGAATAGATACTGTGATGAGTGTTTACTAAACGAATTTATCACGATGAATTGTCTAGCGGAGATAAAGATATCGACAATCGAATAAAAGAATGCAACGAAATTAAAATTATATTCGAATGAAAGTTTTACCAACGTTGAATATCTTAAAAAAAGAGGTTTTTGAGTAACCTGGTTGGATAGACCATTACTTTATAATCCATGAGAGTTTATATACGAGGTAAAAATAAACATTTTCTGAAGTGAAAGCCAGTCACTTTTTTTTCTAAAATTTTCAAAAATAGATTATGGAATCACTAAAAACCCAACTACGAATGAATATTTAATACATGTATGAGCATAGCGGACGGTTATTTACTATTTTATAGTAATAGCACAGTATTAGATGTTCAATCATCTAATTTTTGCGTTCATTGGATTACATGTGAGTGAAAATCATGTGATTAATGATTAGCGTCTGGGGATGTTAACAGTCCGATTTGGTTTTGACTTTGTCCCAAGTACTTTAAAGTTGAAGTTAAACCAGATCACGACTTTCAAGCCGTTCAAACCGTTTATTG